TTTCCCGGTTTGTCCACTCGGATCGCAAAATAACTGGCCAGCAGGAATCACAGGGACTTCTATTTGTGCAAAACCTTTGTTGCCTCTTGGCTGGAACGTGCCACATCTGAATTTCAAAATAATCCACCCCAAAAATATTCTCCCCGGGGCAAACAAAATATTCCTGAGTTTGCGGGAGGCTTTTTGCAGAGACTGCCCATGAATAAATTTTTGGCGCTGTCATTATCATTTTAATAGACGCGGTGAAAGTGCGAAATTTTTGATGCTCCGGATAAACATTAATCTAAATTCTGCGCGGCCTGCAGAAAGTTTTGTTTTTACGGCAGTTGCTGTTTCGCAAACTGAATGTTTTTGTGCTTTTTTTTTTTACTTTTTTATCTTCCGAGTTGCGGATTGCATCACTTTGAATTTTGAAACGCACCTTTTATCACGTGCAAAATTTACCGTGCAATTTACACCGAGTGGCAGTTTAAAGGATGGTCTCTTTAATGCTTTATGTATGGATTCTCATTTGCGCGAACGTATACTAAATAAAGCACGTATAAATGCATCCAGGCGAATTTATAGCTGCAAAACGTACGTTGAAATAAATTAGAATCTCTCGTGCAGCAGCAGCAGACAAAAGCGAATGCATATGTACAAGAAACGGGAATATTTCAGAGAGATATCGCGTTGTTTTGTTCCGAATGCTGCACTGCTGCTGCTGCAAGCAAGAAATCAGATTTATTTATCGCTCTCCGCAGGCCCTGATAACACACGCCCTATCTGATGAATGAATGCAACGTATGGGTCGTGTGATGATAATAATATTTGCCAGCGCCGCGACCTCAATTCAGCCGGGAGAATTCGCCTTTAGAACACCCTTGAGTCGAGTTAAAATTTCAGATAGCGGATGGAAGCAATACATGTTATGGTCTCTAGAGAAGGCAACGTTTTTCCACCACTGACTGTGACCGGATTTTCTCGTCTTTTCATCACCAAAAAATGCATTAAAAAATCCAATTACGAAAAATAATAAATAAAAATTAATTTTAATCATTTTTAAATAAAAAATTGATGTAAAATAAATTAATAATTAGATCAATATCACCTTCCTAAAGAATTTTTTTCACATAGACAATAAAAAAACTGTATTGGAATATTGTTAAAAATTAAAAATTAAACAAAAATGCATATTTGAGCTTCTTTTCAATGAAAAACGCATCATCTCAAGTGATCTTAAGTCAATAGTTAGCAAAAGTACGCATATTTGTTAATTATTTTCAACCATAGATTTGAGTACAACTTTTATTTTCCTTTACATTTGTTGAATTTTTTTTTTATTTAACTTTCAAAAGATTTAAACAGGTAACTCAAGAAATTAATTGATATTGATATAAACTAAAACATCCGAACTCCGTGGACAATAAGAACTGATAAATTATTTAGATACACTCCTCAACCCTGCGGTTGTTGGAAGTGGGAATTAGCCTGTCAAATAGGGACGCCTTGGCCGGCAGCTGTGGCTCCGCTTGTCCGTCAGATGCGCTCCCCGGGCTCGCTTTTTCTCGAGACCGTCATCGTTTTTCAAGGGTGGATGGAGGAAGCACCCCTGTCAAACGCAGCGCCAGACGCGCTGAGACGGCGGCAATTATTAATATCGGAGCGCCTCGCCTGCCTCCGCCGCCGCCGCATCATCTCGCCGCTTTTTGCCGCCGCCCGGCCATTTATATTATTCGCCGCATGATTGATGCCATGCAAATACTTTTTTACGCGCAATCTATTAGAAGCGACCGACCGAGCAGCCAACCGCCCCGTTTATTATATTAAAATGTCAGCACGATCCCTTTCTTATTGTTGTCCTGGTCCTGGCTCTACAGCGGTGCAAAAAATTCTTGACACTCAACGCAAACCAAAACAGCCCGAGGGTTGCTTTTTGTCGTACGCAGACAATTCTGTTTCAATTTCCCTTGTTCCGCTGTGAAATTGATAAAACGCTTAAAAACAAATGTAAATATACCATCATGGTTACTTTTTTATATTTCCAGTCTTCTATCAGAAAATATTAGAATATTAGTATATAATTTAATTGATTTTTTTTTTCATTATCATTTGTTCAAAGCAATACAGATTAAATTTAGAAGAGTTCCTCGATGTGTTTTCCAGTTCCTCATTATTTTAGATAAACAATATTATTTATGGATTCCAAAACATGTAGAGCAGGATATTGTTTTTTTTTTTCAGTACAATAAACGACTTGGAAAAATCTGATGAGGAAAACCTGACTCAAAAATACATTTCTCACGATCGTGAAATTCTACTACAAAAAAAGTTGGTGTAAGGCATATTTGGTCAGTGTGTATTTTGATTGAACCCTCCCTAAAATTTTTAATTCTCCTTTTCGAACAATTTGCTACAAACGAATGCCATGAAATTCATATTATATTCACATATTAGTATTACTTAAATAACCTCACTACATCCTTTTCAATTTTCATGTTTCACCTCGGATTTAATTTCCAGTAGTTTTGATACTGCCACAGAAGTGTTGCAAATAACTAGGGGGCCCAATTAATTGCACACACTAGGTGAATTGCAAATTAAATTTTAGTGTCCGCAGTGCGCCAGTCGTAAAGCGAGGCCCCGGCGTTTCATATCTAATGCAAAATCAAAATTCAGCGAGAAGCGTCTCGCAATTAGCACCGAAACTGCAACGAAATTGAAACGGCCGCCGTTGCTTTCATTAACAAGCAAGCAACCGCATTTTAGACTGTGGTTTCGTACGGGGGAATGTGCGTATGTGCGTTGCCTAAAAGAGGGAGAGGGCTTGAATATGCTGATGAGAAATCTTGTGCTGCTGATGGTAATGAATCTTCGGCGGCAACGCAGCGGCAACAATAATAAACGCTCGAGAGTTTGCTGCGAAATGCCGATTTTAATTCTGCTCTTGCAAACGGCGGCCCTCGTGTTATATTGTTATTATTGCTCCGTGCAAAACATTTCTCATCGCAAAATGCGAAATAATCCCTCGCGAGGCAAAGTCAACAAACACGCGTAATCTGCAATTTGGGGGATTTCTGCAGCGAGAGAACACGTCTGCAAACTGGAGCGTTATAATGGCTTCCTCGTTCGGGGGGTGTTCTCGGCGCGATAACCGAAAAGGAGAGATTTAAATTCTTGTGTGATTTCTGGAAAATATATTTCAACAAGTCAATTGCGAGTGGGTTCAACAATTCACAGTTATACTGGAGATTATTTGAGCATGACTTTGAAAAAAAAACATGCTGATATGAAAATGATATTGATGGAAAAAAGGAATAAAAGTTCATAACAAACTACATTTAAACGACACCCTTTAATACTTGGAAAAAAATTAATAAAAAATAATTAATTAAAGACAGCTGTTTAAAATAAAGAAGATAATTTAATTACAGCATAATTTATTATTTATTTAAGCAAATGATTTATTTTTAAAATACGCAATAATTATTAGATAACACAATGAATTAATCATGCTAATTTTAACTTTTTTTAATATGTCTGTAATAAAGAAGAGAAAAACCATAATATAATTATAAATTTGTATTTTTATTCCCATCTTTGCTGCTGCACATTTAATGAATTTTTTGTTTTTTAAAAATGCTCTTATTCTTTACTTTTATTTGAGAATTTAAGTGATTCCAATAAGACTTGATGTAATGGGTGTTATTATCTTAATGGCTGGCACATTCATTGATTGGCGACCGCTGAAGGAGATATTACATGTTAAACTTGTCGATTGCTCAAACTTCCTCCCAACGCCATCTCAGCAGTTAAGTTATTCGCTTTATTTGGCCAAAGCAGCGACCGAGGAGAACCATCCTTAACGTGTTTCCTTACATCTCGATGATAATGACTATTGATTCCTTTCGCCGCCTTGTTATTATCGCTCGCCTCTTTTTCGAGCGGCGCAGTATCAGGGAGTTGAGGAGCACATTAGGCCACCGACGTGCGTGTACGCGCTTATTATTGAAATTATGCACCTTTTCTCAAAAGCGTGCTTGAACGAGAGGGCCAAATTGCCTTTTCGTGGCGGCCGCCACTTTGCACCACGGTTTGCGCAAACCTCCTGCTGAGTTCTTACTTGACTTTTGTTTGCCTTGTGTAATTTAGTATTTAACCCTTTTTGCAATTTAAACGTCTTCTTTTATATTAAAGACTAACCAAACAAAACATTTTATACTCGTTTGTGGTTGATTTAACAGTAATTAATAAAAATAAAACGATCCTTTCCCGATCCCTTGCTGATCTCTTCCTGATCTTGTCCTAATTTAATTGTATTTAATATTGAGTAATAAAGTTTGAATTTTAATTCAAACTTGGTTCATTTATACATACCACTTGTTAACTTTGTATTTATAAAAATATCTGAATACATTTTTTATTAAACAAACCTGCACAAATTTAATAATCATGATATTACATTTAAATTCTTAAAACGATAAAAAAAAATTAATTTCACAATTACAATTATTAATTTATATTTAAATAAAATACCTAAAACTAGTTTTATTTTAAACGTTAACAATTTTTAATTAACCTTCTCGTAATTTACTTCATTAATTATTTCATAAAATTCACAATCACAAACTTATACTTTGTACTAAAAAAATCTTATCTCTTCCTGATCCTTTCCTGGTCTCTTCTTAATTCAATTTTATTATTTATTAATATAGATATAAACATGAATAATAAAATAAAATTGTAAATTCTAACCAAGTTTTTTTAAATAAATTAATAATAATGATAATACATTATTTAATAATACAATTATAATCGTATTATAAAATCTAATCATATCTTGAATTTAATAGCTAAAGAATAAGTTTAAAACTAATTTTATGTTTGAATCCAGCTGAGAGAAGACAAAAAATGGTACTAGGGAAAAACTATTACTTTTCTTGCGTCCATCATTCTCAAAAGCACATCAGAAATTTCGTTTCGAGCGAAACTCAATTTGCCACTTTTTTGCTCTGTTGCAGCATCGAACGCGGCGAGCTCGGCGTCACTGTTGCTGTCGCTGCTGGTGATTTCGGCGGTGACGATCGCCTCATCTCTGGTGGCTGTTCCGCGGTAACACGGCGTCCTGCACCGCAGACAAAAGACTTAAAAGTGGAAATGCGACGAGACGACGAGTGGATGCGTGAGCTGGTGCGGAAGAGCGGGTGTGCTGGAAAAAAGCTGCTGAGTCTGGCGAAAAACTAACGAGAGTGCGCGAGCGGCAAAAATTTAATGTGAATGTGTGTGTCTTGAATCTCATGTCTGATTGTAGCGACGACGAGTGCAGATCTTTTTATTTTATTTTTATTCCGAGGCGAAAAGCAGAAAATGTTTGTAAAAAGTCTAGTAACCCCGTGTACGAGGGAGTGCGTGTGTAAATAAATGTGATTTCCATATATGAAAATATAATATACAAAAAGCCAGCGCGGGCTGTTGTTTCGTCATTAAATGTGTATTTGTTTTCGTTTCTAGTGACAAGTGATTGTAAAAATGCGAATAACAATTATTAGTGTTTCTATACCACTTTTATCATTCTCATCGATTATTATTCATCAAACTTTCTCCTAGTCTCGCCAATTGTACTACATTTAAAAGTGTAAAAATGGATATTTTACATGAGAAGAAGTAAGTCATCCAGAAAAAAATAAGCAACTTTGAAACTTTGACATCGCGAAAAGGTGCTGTGTGTTTCATCGAAAAGCTGCTTATCGTCCCTCGGGAAACTCATCGTCTGTCAAATTTTATTTTGTGTTCTGCAATTTATCTCACCGTACCAAAAATTGAAATCTAGTACGAGTTATTTTCGCGGCGTGTATCATGCGCAAAGGTTATAATATCATGTTTAAAAAAAAATTATATATATATTGCTTTTAACAACTTTCAGTCAATTATAAAATGTGAAATAACTTTGTTAAACAACTATATTGAGACAAAGGATTTTATTTGAAATCAATAAAAATAAACATTCCTTTTATGTGGCCTAGTTTTAAGATAGATAATCAAATATTGTTTTTCGTGACCTGCAGAAGCGATCAACTTGGAAACACCCCCTGAAAGCGTTGAAATTAAAATGTTCTTGATAATGAAGCACCACAAATATGATGTCAAAAGGTATGAAAATTAAAAATATCGTAAAAAATGTTTCTATCAATTGTTGAATGTGCTTATGAAAAACTTCAATTGGATTAAGATATTTGAAGGGATAAAAAAGAACCTGTTCCCGTCATCCAAATTTTCCTATCGCCTAAATTGTCAATATCCACTTTAAAATATTGGTATTTTTTATTTTCCAAGGCAGATCCAAATTTTCTGGCCTCCCAAAACTCATTCTTCCTTGGAAATCTTCATGTATGCAATCAGAAAAATAATAATGAAAAAAAACTGCATTTCAAAGTGGATATAACTGTTAAATGGAAAATATAAATGCCATGATTTGACCCGAGTACCACTTACAGGACATGTCAAAATTTCGAGTCATGAAATTTCTTTTTCAATAAAGCTCTTGTAAAACACAGTTTTTGTATTGTTTCAATTTTGCACTCACCCCGCAGCACAAATCATCCCTGGATAAAAGCAGTGAAATCCAGGGTTCCGCCATAAGCTTTTGAGCCAAAAGTTGAGTAATTATTTAAAATAAGGAAAGATCAAATAAAGGAGGCATCAAAATGGAGTCGGATGATTGCCAGCCGGGCTGCTGGAGAGAGTTGAGCACATCCTAATGTAATTTCTCTGAAGGGCGGCGGCAGCACTAAAAACCTATCTCGCATCCTTTGCACCCTTTCTGCGCAAACTTCAAAGAACCTTTTTCGCTCTTCAATTTCATTCTCATCCGCGAATTTTTCCACCCTGTTCTTCTCTTTCCTCAAAAGGCGCCGCCGCTGCTGTTTTCCTTTCATACTTTGGTAAAAAATAAAAGCTCGCTTCTTGCGATTGAGCGAAATGAAAAAAAATCTCGATATTCGCTCCTCTTGTATAAATGAAATGTTTACTTGGTGACGCAAAATTTGCCAAAATTGCCTGCTGTGTATAATTTACTGGAAGTGTGTGCCTTAATAAACTTAATACGGTGTACGTTCTCTCTAATATGTATGGTGCGCAAACAAACAATGCTGCGCGCGTCCAAATGAACTTGTGTGCAAGTCGTTAATGAAGCTACTTGTTCAAAGACAAACGCCGCCGCCCTGGGATGTGTTTGGCCCGTGTGCTGCTGCAGGACCAGTTCTCGCCCAAAACGGATGTGCGCCTTTGCACAATTTCGGGATTGTTATATAATGTTGAGCGGGCGCGCGACAAAAGTGCTGTGTTGACGTAATTTTGTCATGCCCTGCTGAACTTTATCCCAGACACGACCTTATTTATATACTAAGCGGGTTTTGCTACTTGCAAATTCTGTTACCCAACAACTTTTGAATAGTTTTGATGTAAATTTTTTCAAAAGATGATTTAAACGAGTCTTTAAAAATCGACTAGCAATTTAAGAAGTATGCAACCCTCTTGACATTTCCACCTACGCCAATTATTAATAGAGCAAAGAAGACTCGAAAAAATTCAAAAACAATTTTTTACAATGAGGACAAGCCTGATTATCTTCATTTCCATGATCATCTCCTCGAGTGTCGACTTCGTCAAACAAATAATATGTATATTATTATTATTTTTTTTTTTGTTAAATTCGTTTGCAGATCAAATTTTTTAATTAAATTCTACTTCAGAGCGGAATGTTTATTTATATCGCTTTCCACTTTGGTAAAATGTCCATCCCCGCGAGAGCTCCAATGAAAGGTCGCTTTTGCTGTGTGGGTAAAAAAAAATGCCAAAATAACAGGCACCGAATCCGGCAGGACATTTCACGTCCCTCGTCGGCCACTGGCTCGGTTTCATCGAATTTAATTTCTGACGGCAGGGCGTTGGAAAATGTTATTTCTGTCACGTCTCCGCACGGTGTCAAAGCAAGAGGCTTTCAAACGATAAAAAGGCCGGGCTGCTTTTTGCACTCGCTTTTGTCTGAGCAAATTATTGCATCGCACGCACCCGGATCCGTTGCTGCTGCGAAATTGCGTTTGTTTGGCGGACGGGCAGGAGCAATAAACTCGTGATCCCTTTTTTGTATTGGTCCCGGGAGTATTACATAAACAACTGACGGGAATCTCAGTCACACTCGTGTCGCTAAAAGAGACTCGGCAGCATTATTTCCTCCGAGAGCGAGTTCCGATAGATCTCACTTTCACTGTGCAGGATCACCTTACGGCTTTAACAGGCGCACAGAGATATCTGATATTATGGCCCTTTTGTTCTATACGCAATTCGGCATAAACAAAAAGGTCTAGAACAAAATTAATTGCAGATTTATTTCAGAGCTTTTCAACATTTTTAATAGCAATAATTTTAAGGGCTACCATCATTATGATAAATTTTTTGATTAAATCCACGAGTGTATTTTTCCTTCAGGTTTTATTCTTTTTAAATATTCAAAAGTTTTGAGCATCTTTATAAAACCACCAGAAACTATGCTATGTATTAATGCCAAATAAATCAATTAATTCTGATTGACATTTTTATGCTCTAGTTATGCTATGATTTCCCATTATAATTTATTCATTTCCCAGTAAAAATATTCAACAAAACTTTTCCAGTTCACTTTTAAAAAGATAAAAATACTTCACTGGACTAATTGGATAAAAATCTTATCTTACTTAGCTTTTTTCCTTTGAGAAAAAATAGCTTCTTGACACAATTCAAGCATTTTCCTCAAATCAAAGCTGCAAAAAGCAAGTTTTCAGTGCAGCCGCAATTATTTGATCGGATGACTCGGCTTCTTAAATGCACTGCGCTTAGTTAAAAATTGATCAAAGTGCGCTTGATGGCAATTAGGGCTCCGAAGTAAAACTCTGTGCGAGTTGCACCAACACAACTGCTGCAAAGACTTGAGCAATTTGCGACGAGAGCATCCACTTTTACAACCAACGGTGGCTTTTGTACTACTTATTTACGTCAAACTTTAAGAAGGCACGAGCTCCTCTAATAGAATTTAATTTGATTATTAACGATCCGTCATGCACCGAGAGAAGTTTAGAGCTCTCGACAAAATGAGACGCCATCGAGCGCCAATTATTTCCACGCCTCAAGCCATTTTATCGCAAACAATCGCAAAAGTTATTGAGGGACACTCGAGCGAGTTAACCAAAATCGCTTTGGCACCAAACTTATTTGACTTGCCATTTTCGTTAATAAAATTCAATTCACTTTTCCTTGAAAGTAAAAAGTGCCAAAATTTATAATATAGTTGGAAGAGAGTAGATTTTTGCTCCCAAAATGTGTGGCTGGGATCAGGTTGGTGGCAAATTAATTAACACAAGGCCCTAATTGGCGCGGGTTTAGCGCGGGAGTGGCCGTAATTGCTCCAACTCTGTAATTTCCGAATCGTTCCGAATTTTTCTGCCTCAGTTAAGACGGCGAGCGAGTTAATTAAAAGGCGGGTGCAGCAGCAAAATTGCGTTTCGCCAAAATTTCACGCGGTGAAATTGGGCCCAAAAATAATTATGCCGGCGCTAATTTAATTAATACACATGCAGAGAAGAAAGTTTTCCGGATGCAGGTCACACGCGGCGCACGTAAAACTGTTGTTGTGAATTGGTCAAAATAGCGCAGTAGGGGACGCGATTCTGGCAAGAATTGTGCCGCGTTCTTTTCTAGTTAAAAAGTTAAAATTTAATTTTCCTCCCAGCAGCAACGTGAAAAAGCGGCGCGGAGAAGGAAATGAATTCCGGCACAGTAGCCGGCGCTCTTCTTTCCTGCCGCTCCCCAAAGACCGCACTTGGAGAAGAAGAAAAAAACGACACAGCATCTTTTCTTCTGCCAGAGACAATAAAATTTCTTTTGGCCTTCAACAAAAAATAAAATAAAAGAGGAAGGAGGCCACGCTCAAAATTGGCTGCTAAGATTTTCAGCAAAGGAGCGGCGCAGCGCCAGCAATATAATTTTTATTGGAGTGAAAAATTTCCCAGCTTGCAAGATTGGGCATTAAAATTTGCTTTGCCGGTGAATTTTCAGACCTTTAATTTATGCCTGTACAAGAGGCAAGTTTTTTTACAGCAGCTAAAATTGCAAGAAAATTTATATTAATTTAACAACATTGACCTTTCTTGACTAATTTATATTGACACATCTTTGACTAATTTTACACTTCTGTGTTTACTTTTTAACTCTCATGTATTTATTAATTATTAAGGTCCAGTTGCATCGGTTGTGTAAATTTGTGTCCAGTAAATATTTCCTTTTTTCATGTATTAGTAAAATACAATCAACATGAAATAACCTTCGTCCACATAATATGTTAGTGTGAACAGGAGGACTGATCCAGAAAAAAGTAATTTAAGTAGATGGCTCACGTTTTCTGGCCTCTTGACGAGTGCCTGATATTTTTACAGCTTGGAAGAAAATAAAAAAGCACGTGCGGTCGTAAAGTGCCACAAAACGGCTGATGTTGTTGAGTGCACTTTTAATTGTACTAAAGTCAACAATAATGTGCCTTCTCAGTGTATATATAGTGAATGTCACTTTTGCTCCTAACATGGCTAGATTGACAAACTATAAAATATTTCTGTATTTTATGGAAATTTTCGAATTCGATTTTAATATAAATAAAAAACATTTATTATAGCCTAAATTTTAATTGATGCCAAATATTTCAAAAAGGACCACAGAAAAAATGCGTATTTGCCCAACATTTTGGAAGTCATTAAATTCACTTTTTAAATTGTTAATTAATTTTTAATTAAGTTGACAATAGATCATGGGAATTAAATCCTCCTCTCTTTTCACTTTTGTCGGTATTTTATAGATAATTCTAGATCATATTAAAATTAAAAAAAAAAATGCACAGCAATAATAAAAAATTCTCGCTAATATAATTATTTAATGCTTCCATCGTATTATACTTATTTATTTAGTATTAAAATTATAAATTTTTATAAATTTTATAAAATTTTAGACCCCTGAGAGACATTTTAATTTGTCAGATAAATTTTCATTTCTCTTTATTATCAAATAGTATAAAATAAAGTAGCTTTTTGTCATGAGCACAGGGCGCGTGAAAAATGGCGTTTCCTTTGCAGCGCGGCACAAGAAGCTCCCCTTGGGTGCGGCGTGCGCGCGTTTCGTGCTAATTAGTCGGTGTGCCTTGATGTTGGCACAATGCCGCATTCGCAGGCAAATACGTAGCGAACACTATGGAACATTGCAACACACGCAACGCCACCTCCCACGGCAGACGGCACGCGCGTACGCAAGCAAATACACCCACCATCGGCGTGCGATTCCACTCATGGGACACCATAGAGGCGCCGAGCAGTGCAAATTTACTTCCGAGCCGCTAACCCAAAATTTTGCACTGGCCCTCATGGACCAAAAAAAGCTTATTTTGTTTGCATATTGTCCGTCAAAAAATAATAATAATGAAAAAAATCAAAAATATTTTGTTGTTTACCATAAATTTACGAAAGAAGGAAAAGCAGCAAGCAGGAATTCATCAAACCATTTTAATTTCCTTGGATTTCTTTGAATTCTGATTTGTAATTTAGAAAAAAATGTTACCTTTTTATATTAGTGGACATTCATTATCGTTACTTATTTTTTTTTATTAAAATTAGAAAAAAAATGATTTTGTTGTGGAAAGAATAAATTAATTAAACCAGAAAGTAACAGCATAAGCTATTCATGGAAATGAAGAAGTCAGGCTTGTCCTCATTGTAAAATTTATTTATTTATGCGAAATGGCTTGGTTAAATTAATTTAAAGATTTAAATTTTTATGCTAAAATGTGGTGTATTTTCAATTAAGCCGATTTTTTGTATTTTTCTTGCTCATGAAATAGGGTCGCAGACTGTGACCGAAACTGGTAAGAGCCATTTATTTAGAATAAAAACAATTTTTACTACAAGGACAAGCCAGACTTCTTCATTTCCATGATCATCTCCTTGATTGTCAACTTCCTCAAACAAATCGGTTATTCAAGTCAGATTTATCCATTTGGAAATTTTATTGTAAAAATATAGGTTTTATCATTCCCTTCTTTTTGCTCGATGAAGATTATAGTTTCCACAATATTCATATCAGGAAATCATATGATAATTATGTAATTATGTTCTATACATACCACGTAATGAACTGAAAATATTAAACATGTTTAATTTGTACAATTGTCTCATCACTGATTGGAACCAAATCGGGTTTCGGTATGTTTAGCTTTTAAACATTTTGCCATTCATTGTGGTTCAGGGTGCTGAAGTTGTCCATGCCGGCAATCTTCTCGAGGTACTTTGCAAGCTGAGGCAACGTGTCGTCCTCGCCGCCCCTGAACTTTTCGATTTCCAGTCCGCTCTGCGGATTCATCAAGAAGTTTCTTGCCATGTCATCGATGATGATGCTGTTGTGAGGTCCCCATGCAGGGAATTGGCGCCAAATCAACTCAAGTGGCTTGCATTTTTTCTCCCGCCTGCCCTTCTGAACATACACCACGGAATTGCAGCACATGTAGAAGCTGAATCTGACAAGAGAGAGAAAAAAATATAATTCATTTATGAATCAATGAATCAAATAATACTTGTAATCTTCGTGGCGGTGCATCTTCAGCTTTTTGAGGATTCTTCGAATCCGATACATCATCGAGTCGGACCAAAGTACGAGGTTGTAGTGCTGGTATGTGTGGGTCAGAAACTGATGCAGGAAGGGTCGTTCCTTGTGACTTCCACTAATTAGAGTCAGGTCAAGATCAAGAACGAGAAGCTTCTTTTCATTCTCCATCGGATGGTGACTCTTGAAAAAGAAATGAATTTAAATTTGAGTTAAAAAAATTATTAAAAACATTTAGTTAATATACCTCAATTCTGTGTATTCTCGCCAGATTCTGCACTTTCATGATGTTTTTCGAGACACAGTGTGGTTCCGACTCCGACTTACAATTAGCAAGTTTGCCCATTTTGCGATTTGGTCCAATCGGCTCCAGAACAAAACCGCCAACCAGGTCCAGGTTCGTTTCCTTTGCTTTATTTTCTTGATCCTAAAATAAAATGGATAAAATGTTAACCAATTCAAAAATATCAAGAACTCCCTATCAAATCGTCTTTGCAACAATACAATTATGGTGGTTAAAATTACCATTTGTTTTGTAATACATAAATGCTTAAAATTACTCATATTGTTGTTAGGAATTTATTTTACTATAGCAACCAGGAGAGTCCTTTAAAATGGTAGGGGAAGCACAAAAAATGACTTACATAAAATCGTTAAGCACAACAGTCTAATGTCATTTTGCATTAAGAAGAAGAATTACGTCAGCAAATATAATAAAATTCAGGGGAATTTATTTAGGACAAATAAATTTTCTAAATGCATTTCAAGAAAATGAAAAAAATGTTTTATGAAAATTTGCAAAATTGATACATAAATTGTCACTAATAGTTTTAGAACTATGAATTACAAAAAAAATTCCTTATTCTAATAATTACTTAATTTTCCAACAGGAGCGACAAACTGGCAACAAAAGCAAAATGATAAATTTATGTCTGATAAAAGTGCACTTCTGGCCCCTGCAACTCTTTATTCCCCCCCCCCCCCCCCATCATCTAATGTTATTCTTATGCAAAGGGGTCAAAATTGTGACGGGACCAGAATTGCATTCGTACGTGAAAAAGCTTGAAAAAGCTTTCCGAGAGTCAGATTTGAAGAGAAACACCCACAGCAAAACAGCGCGATCGCAGATCCCTGATGTAATTATGTGAATTGTGAACATTCGCACTTACGAAGAAAGGCTTGATATTGATCGACATGAAAACCGAGTAATTAGGTAGACTTGTTTCTTGTTTTGCGTGTACCTAACTCTGCTGACTCGCCTCTCGCCTGAATCCTGGCTGAATTCAAAAATTGTCTCTTCTCTTCTCTGCTCGCCTTTCCCCTCCCCCTCCCGACCCACGCCAACTTTTCGCACGGCTTTTCTCGTCTTTCTCACATTACATTGCATTCCTAAAGTTGACCTTGGAACTTGGACTCATCGCATTGGCATGTTTTGTTTGTTTTTGATGGTTTCTCTTTTCTCTGTGCATTCGCCACATTCCAAACACATCTTTTTGCCTGTCGCCTGCCTGCATCAGTGAGTTGAGTGTTGAGACTTGAGTTGTTTTCATACAATTAGATGGACTGGAAACTGGAAGTAGATTTATGTGAAATATTGATAGTGACGCAAGAAATGTGGATATTTTTGCAGAAAGGGTGTTCGGTAATTATACAATACATGCTAATGAATTATTCACATGATGATTAATTTTGATCATTTATTGACAGGCCTCCAGCCAATCCAGTGTGCAGTGTATGTCTCATCAACATGGACGCCCGGACAACATCCCTTTTTTCTAAAATAAAAAGGTAGGAAAAAAAGTTGTCATTTTTAATGTACGATTTTTATTACAGTTATTCATTTTTTATATATTATTTTGTCCGGAGTGAGAACAAACGAGGCTAATCTTCACACATTCTTTCGGCTTCTTATTTTTTTTATATAACTTTATACACTTGGTACATACCATTTTTGTTTAATAATATAGTGTCATTAATTTTAATGATTATTCTAAATAATACAATCGAAGACAAAAGCATTTTTAAACAGTTTCAGCCTTATCTAGTTTAAAGGGATTGAAAAGTTTCTTTTAGTGGATATTCAATATTGGTATAGAAAGATCCAATTTTGTCTGTAATTTTTCAAATAAGAATTAATTTGTCAAAAATTATGGCTACTGAAAAAAACTTCAATTTTTTTTTGATATTTTTCCTTTTTTTTATTGTTGCCATTCGGCAAGTGTGTAAAATATGTTTTTAGTTTCCCCTGTTAATTACGCAATCGAATTTTTTCACAAAAATTTCTAAAAGTACTTGATTCCTTCCCTGAAATTTTTAAATTTTTATTTTAAGCCTTTCTTATTGAAAAAAATCCCAAAATTGGTTCTCAAATTTGAATGTAGACCAATTTTTCAACGGAACTTAAAAAAAATGTAAAATGATCTAGAATTTGAGCGAATTAAAAAAATACTTGAAACGCAAATCATTGAATGAATTCATCTCGGCCGAAGACATGCTTATAAGAAGTGCATAACAAGGATCTTGCGGAAACATAAGAGGCTTATCTCTGGTCCGGTCCTGTGCATCCGGGGACCCATAGCAGCAGCAACAATGTAATAAATCGGGCATTAAGACGGAGAACGGGCGAAATAGTTTAACCGCGGCTGAATTATCGCCGTGCGGAGGCGAATATAAGAGGCTGGCGGCGATGCAAACGAGCAGTTTAAATTCCAAATCTGCAAGTTTTACATGCGCAGCGCAGAGACGGTGGTTGGAGGCGCAATTTTTATGCAGAGAGGGAAAAGCCGTGGCCGAACTTAATGGCGAAATGAGAGAAGATAAATTTATGTAATATTCATGCAAATTGAAGCGGCGGCGGCGCCGAGTTAAAATTGCCAGTGGGCTGTTTATATAGCAGAGTCGACGAGAGTTTGAGTCGGCAAAAGAGCCGCCTGACACTTTGCAATTGAGGTAATTTCTCGGCGTGCGAGCACCGGCAATGCATGCACCCCAGCAACCCCTTGTGCTGCCTCTTCGTCCTTCGAAATGCCAGCGCAGTAATCATACATTACGCGGGCGAAAACATCCGACGAAATGAAAAACACGCGCGTCTCATGCCGGCTGTCACTTTATTGCGTACTTTCCGCATTTTTTTTCAAAATTCCATTTTTGTGTGTTAAAACTCTTTGGACGCTGAGATTTTTTTAATTTATCACAAAATTATTCTATAAAAAAAGTGTGCAAATTTGGTAAATGTAAAATTTCATCGAGATGTAGTTGATAATTGAAGTGGCTTATTTCTTATTTGTACATATTGGATCAGGAGAAATAAAATAACTAATTATTTAATAATGACCACACCATTATCTACGATACTGTGTTCCGCCTATTTGATTATAATTTCTGATGATAATTTGTAATCATTTTACGTTAATTTTTATAAGATAATCTACTAAAAATTGGCCTGATTGAATTTTAATTTCGATTAAAATTCAAAATTTATTAGCATTGTTTATAATTTTAAAATGTTCATTCCAACAAATTAAATAATAAATTGAACTATCCTATCAAAGATCTTAAAGCTTCTGAAAGTCGCGAAGCATCCAAACGCGTTTAGAAAATTCCAGTCTTTTTGTTAAATAGATTGAAGTAGTCGTAAAGTTTTTTTAGTAAACATAATATTTAAGTTTAAGAAAATTAAAAAAAAAAATTGGCTTCACGAGAGCCTTTTGCAATAAACAGTCCAATTAATTTTGATTGTAATTTTTCTCTGCATAAGCATTGGTTTGTAGATCTCACGTCAGTTCCAAGGACATTGGTAGGACTGAATTTTTGAAATGTAACTTTTTTAAATATTTAAAAATAGTTTTTTCCCCTCAAAATAGGTCGAACCAAAATTGACAAAAATTTCACCAAATCACGTTCATACCACCGCAATTAAGAAGGTAAAATAAAATCAATATGTCAGTCTACATTCGACGTCAAAATTTACATTTTTGACCTTACGGCCCTTATGGGAAAATGTTGAAAAAAGCTTGTTCTTAATAATAGTTTATAGATGGCATAAGCTCCTCATTAAAGTTTCTTCAACGTAGACCACTTCATGAAATTCGTCTCGAGCGCCCACTTCGCTAGCAAAAAATATAATATTCCTCAGAAAATTCAGAAGATATCAATTATTATAATGAGAACTAAACATTAGTAACTTAATTAATCATACTTAAAAATTTTCCCCTGAAACTGCCTTACACTTTTTACAACACAAACAAAACACTATTCTACACTAATTTGAACAGAAAAAACACACGCACACACTACAATTATCTGAGAATACTTAAAAATATTTACTTTAAAATTGATAAAACCTGGTGATATTATTTCCTAGACTAAAGAGCCCTGCGTTTTCCTCGTTTTATATCATGTGGATTTCCTCTCGTTTTCCAAACAAGCGTCCGCTCTCTCGTTCTTATTTGCAATTCTCGCTTGCAAATCTGAGTGGGAAGGAGCGTTCGCTGGCAAAAGTTTGTCTACTGGAGAAGCAATCTGCTCTCAAGAGTGGACTCTCGCTCGTCATGTAATTTCGCAGCAGCGAGGCGGGCTGGCGAAATAAAGAGAGAGAGAAGGCCTGGTTGTACCAATGTGCAGATCTGCTCATCAGCGCCGAGTCTATATGTGAACAAGGCAAAAACAAGGCAGGCCGAGAGAAATTGAGAGGCAGAACAGTCGGCGCGCCCCATTATGCAGCCAACTTTTGGGAGCAAGAAGTCCCTGACGCAATTGTCTGTCTCGCCGCCGCCGCGCTACCTGCACCGCGCTACTCCACTTTTTACTTTTGCATTATTTGTTCGGATGCGCTCTCGTTGCAGCCCATTCCAATTTCAAACTTGCAATAGAGCAAACAGTCAGACTGGGTTAATCAACGTCAGGAAAAAAAACTGACAATGAGAGCTCGGCAAACGTTAAAGTAACCGCTGGCGTTTAATTAAACAACACGAGATTAATTTAATGATGTTTAAGAAATTTGTTACATCATTGATTTATTCATCAATGATATTAGAAGGGTCAAAATTATTTTATTCCAGATTAGTTGAATTTCAAATTTCTTACAGGCCGAGTGACAAAATTAATTGTGTTGTAAAACTTTAAAAACAGATATAATTCAATACATTTAACACAAAGCAAATTTAATTTAATGACAAATTTAAAAACTTTCAAATCATATTAATATCTCTATTTCATTTACATTTTATAAAAGACTTTCAAAGGTTCATTAAAATAAAACACAGATTATGCTCAATGTTTCAGAGGATTCCTATAAAGGTTTCTTGCAGGTTCTGGGGAAACTAATTTTAAACTCCAGGTGTTCAAATCCGGCTCCCCTCGATAAAGTTGAACATTATTTTTTCTGCATGGTACTGAAAATCCCTGTTTTACGGTTTGGAGTTTAAAACCCTGATTTAGCTGATTCGCAGAAACCACATAAAATTTGCCATGTTCAGAAATTATCCATTTCATACATTAATAAGTCACCGTTATTTGTCCTAAAACCTTAAACTGATTTCTCTATTTGTCCTAAAAGCAAAAGTCCTAAAAATGAGTATCCTAAATTTTACATTTCATTTTTCCTGAATAAAAAGTGTCCTAAAAATATAGAATCTAAAGTTAATTAATTTTCTTACTTTTTATGTTAAATTTAAAACAGTTTTCAGGGTTTATTTCATAAAATAATAATTGAATTAAATTTTATATTAGCAAAAATTAAAAATAATTATAAAAAATAATTGATAAAATTGATCAATTGAATACTCTAAATATAATTTTGTTAATTATTAAATCTTTTACCTGAAACCTGATGCAATTCTCATGGATATCGATCTCCTTATTTATAATTGAAATATTGGAAAATACGGTTTATTTGAATCAACTGAAGAGCTCACGGTATTAATTTGCATTCATTAATAAGAGGCGAGGGTGTATTTTAGTTCCACGGTTATGTTGATGCGTTGTGTGTGTCGTTTGACAAATTGGCCCTTGCCAGTGTCGGATGGCTTTCTGGGGTGCGATTTGAGAGCTGGTCGGGCCGCGCCATCAGGTGAGATATGAAAGCCACAAAATCCACCTGTGCACTCCAAACTCGGCTGCTGAGCTACGAGTTTTCATATCGGCGGCGCACTCGCTCGCTCACTCGCACACGCCGACAGACATTACATATTCCAACGTGCAAGGTGCCAAAACCGCCTTGCTGCTGACTTGAGAATCTTCTTATTCTAATGCAATATCAACACAGAACGCTGCTCGCACACACATACACCGCGCCAAGAAAAACTGCTTTCAACTTTTTTAAATTCATGACTTTTCCAACTTGTCTGCTCTTTGAATAATTCTTGCCTGAGTGAGAAGCTTTTGGGAAAACCTTTACAAAATATGGAAAGTCATTTTTTCTGCAACTTTCGAAAGACAGAGGCCACTTTCACCAAGATATTTACATTTTTAAATTTTATATGGATTTGTTAAAATAGTCCAAGGAAAGCCACAAAAAAAAAAAAAAAACGAATTGAAGACAATGGTCAATTTAAGTTAAAAATTTTTACAATATCTTAAAGAAGTGATAAAGAACTTTGTCAAAATGTTGTTGATTTTTAAATTCAGTTGAAGTTGCAAATAAAATAATTGATTAAAAATCTTATAAGATAAACATTAAAAAACAAATTTTCTTCCTCTTTGTTTGAAAGGTAAAGCTTTCGTTATTAACTTGCAAAGTAAGACATTTTTATAGAATGAAATTGATTTTTTTTTTAAGTTTCCAATGAAATGATTTTATATCCAGCAATTTTTCTTTATGGATCTCGCATTTCCATGATAAAATAGATAAGAAATTGAAAAGCGTTCGTCACCCTAGGCATTTGAAAGCTGTAAAAAGGTTCATAGCGGGCGGTAGTTTCCCTACATATTGAGTAATTTGGGTAGGTGATCGTGTCGGGCGGCACAGTCAGTTTTACGCTGCACCCTCGTGTGTGCGTCCATAAATGCCGGCTGGGCCGACGGAAGGGTGCTGTGGCACTTTAGCCCCTTCGCATTATTGAGAGTGAGAGCACGACGGCGACGGTCTTATTACTGTGACGACTGGGCAGCGAATCGCGCGCGACAACCGCACGTCGACCCCCAAACTCAATTATCCACGACCGCAACTACCAACTCAATTAGCGCTGGGGCACAATGTAATCGCACTCGAACGACGCATAATCGAATTGACTTGACTCCGCATCACTTTTCTTTTCACGAATCTTCAAATGAGAAATAAAAAATAAAATTTGTAATCAAAATTAGGTCCGCAGTATTTAATGTTTGATTTCATTAATCTATCATTTTTATTATTGATTCTTCTCAGTCGTTGGCAACAATAGGAAAAATTAAAATTGGAGGAAGAATAATTTAAAAAAAAAATGCTACCGAAAATAAAATTAATTTGAAAACATTTAAATTTTATTTTTGATAACATATAAATCTTGATTTTTGCAAATTATTATATCCTTCAAAAGTTTATTTCATAAAATTCATAAATTTATCCTTTTTTTTTGTATCCCTATTTTTGTGCTTATGTATTTTTTTTTTTGTAAAGGTAATTAATTGGTGCGACTTTGAAAAAGGGGTGGGCACTTTGGTGCACATTAATTGGCCCAAGGCTCACGCAGCACCAGAAACAGCGCATTCAGGCGGCGGAATAATCAATATAACTGTGTCAAGTTTGGCCCATGAATAATTAATTGGGACCGCAATTGCGTTGCATTATCCCGCGAGCCGTTTTGAATAATTCATCAGTGCGCACTGGCGGCACAATAAAAACGGGCCAATTATCATTCTCGGCAGACAACGCAAAACGGCGGTGGCGGTCCAAATTAATATATGAGAGGGTGCGCTAATGCCGGGCAATCACAGGCCAATCACGCCCTGCGCGCAAATTCATACCCAATGATTTACCTTTCGGGAGATTAGCCGGAGCAACGAATAATTCTTGCTTATAATCTCAAATATAAATAAATTATAATAATAAAAGTCTAATTTTTTTTTATAAAAAGAAACAACAACAGAAATTGCTTGTTTTAGATTTTAATATTTTTATTATTTTGTTCAAAATTTTAAATTAAATTTAATAAATTTTGCTTTTGCCTTGAAAATGGAAAAATTCTTGCTCATAACTCAAATTTAATTACTTACAATAATTATTATTAAAAAGAGGAATTGCATATGTTTGAGTTTTAATCTTTTTATTTTGTTCATAATTTTAAATTAAACTAAAATAAACTCTTCATTTTGCCTTGAAAGATTAAAATTGAAATTTTGCAGATTAAACAAATGAATAATTATTTTTTTAAATAAATTAATAAATCGGTAGATCACACTATTTTGTGACTATCAAATTCCATAGCATTGGCCACCCTAGGGTCTCATCACCGATGAATGCAAATAAATTAATTAATCAGAACGTATTTGCATAATTAATGCGAGAGACGAGTGACACATGTCGAAGAGAGAGTGAGGCTCACGTATAATGTTGGTTGGTTGGTGTGTGTGGGCGCGCTTGCTCGCTCAGTTGTTGATTAATGAACCTTATCTCGTCGCATACATATGTCTGCAGCCAACCAGTGTGTGTTCGTCTCTTTAGCGCGCTCAAGCCTTATTATGGCAGTGTATTTGGCGCCATTATCATGATAATTGGTTGTTTGCATAATATATATCCAAAGAGCAAACCGTACACAGACAAACACATATCGCACGCACCAAATTATCTGGCGAAATAATGCGCTCATTCCTGAATCTGGTTTACAGAATACAATCTTTGAATGGGTGCTAATTAATCATTTTAGTGTGTTTGTTATTGTTAAGTATGTGTCAACTTCAATACTTTTGAAGTGGCAAGATAAAATTGTGGCTTTAGATGAATATAATTGACTTGATTAAATTATTAGCGTTAATTTTGTAGTTGAAGTTCACGATCGAGGGTTGATTCACGATGGTTTGAATTTAAATTCGACTTTTCCTCGAAGGGTTTTTGTGGTTTTTTAATTGCTTAAAAAAATCAGTATCCTGCTCTACATGTTTCGGCTGCGGGCTGCAGCCACAATATTAATATTAGCGTAATCATTTAGGTCATTTATATAAATTTAGATGTTATGATCAAATACAAATTTTTTTCACTATTTTTTCCTTTTTAACATTTACAAACGGCTACGCAGAATTATATAATTTTCATCAAGATATTAAGCTTGCAAAATGCTATTCGCTGCTCTACAACATGAGTTCATTGCAAAAAAAAATATTTTCTTTATATTTATACTGACTCATATTCCTAGCAAATTGATATCGGATGAAGGAAACTTTTCATAATATTCTGACCTACAAAAAATTCTCTATCCAATCAAACATTTCCTGGAACTAGATGAATATGTTTTCAATTTATTTCCTGATATCGCAACAAAGTGTAGCATATTAAATTATTTTGCCAGCGGGGTTCGTGTGCAGAACAGGGGGTGACATCTGCTTTCGCCCGTTCGAAATTCTGTTCCCTGCGTAGTCTGCAGGGGCTGCTCTCTGCAGACGAAACCGGGAGGCTTCGAGGTATACCACGTGCACAACATGCATGCTGTGCGGGGTGCATAAACGTGTAGTAAATTTAGCAATAAGTGAAAAAGGTGCTACAGCTGCTTTTATTACAAACAAATCGAGTATTATTTACATAAATAAAATTTACTACGTGTCCTCATCACTGAACTTTCTGGATGCGACGTTCGTGACGAAAGCAGGCTCGTCATCCAGCCGCCGTTTAATGGAGAAGGCCATAATTATTGCAAAAACAATTGCAATGAGCTGTAATTATTTATTAAATTTCACAATTTTATTATCATAATTTAATTAGAGAAAAAAATACCTCATCTACTGCAAAGACAACTGCCACCGCTCCGAGAGCATTTTGGAAGGTGGTAAAATAATTCTTGAGTTCAAAATAGCATCCCTTTTTGAAGTAACCTGCGGAATTGCAAACGTCCAAGTTTGTACCATCACATTTGCATGAATCTGGTGGAAGATCCATTCCTGCAAATTCTTTCCAGTCCGAAAACGTGTCGATGCCACAGCATTTGAACTTAAGTATTTACAAAAATTAAATTAGCACTGCGAAAAATAATTCAAATGCAGACTTACGTCACTTTGCAGTGTGTCCCAAGTCAATTTAGACATATCTCCGTTCTCAGGATCGTCGTAAAGTCTCATCTGATCCTCCAAAGTGTTGCGGAAAATATCGCCCAACTCCTCTTGGAAAGTGAATACCAAAATTCCGCCAACAAATTGTAGCAGGAAAATGACGCACAAGCATCCAGCGTACTTTCGTTGAAATATTTTTGTTAATACTGAGAACTTTCACAATAAAAAAAATTAAAATATTACTATCAATAGCACTATATAGGATTGCTTGGCCGCTCCAAAGCACCCGATCAAACCGGCCAGGACAATCAACGCGCCGCTTGTCACAACAACGATTGCAGGGGCTGAATACTAAAATATTTAAATAATTTACAATGAAATAAAAATTTGGTTTTAAATACTCACAGGGTCCGAGAGAAATGCATCATATGTGGTAACATAGACAATAGTGATCGATCCTAAAACAACCAAAGCAATTCCTCCAAGCTTTTTTTGGGCATGGATTAGTTTGATTCACTAAATAAAAAATTTCACTCACCAATATGAGGCAATTCAAGAAAAATAGGATATATTTTATAGTTGATTCAGCGCAATTCAGTTTAACTGCCATTTTTCCGTACCTGTTGTCACCGTAAGACTGTGCGCAAATCAGTGATTAATGCGCTGAAGGCGTATTAAGTCACATATATGCGATATCTTATCTTGTCTGGCCACATCTACCCTATTAGTTACACAAAGCGTCGACGTCAAATGGCTTTTTCATATCAGATTAAAAGTATGTAGATTAAATGTAATGAAGAGGATTAACACTTTTGCAGCCTTGAATTATGATAAATTAGCATGTGGATTTTGGGACTGCCGTCGGCATGGACATTGTTAAATACAAAATTAATTACCCACCGTTATCTTGGAGCAAATAAGTATTATCAAACCCTGAGCTTTAGCAAGGTGCCTCCCACCGCCATTATCAAGAGAAATAGGCAGGCAGAGTTTAATTATCATGTTCATTTATTTTTCCAAATTGTTATTAACAAATTTAACATCAAAAGAAATATTAATGTTGAGACAGAAAGACACCAACATTAGCAATGATTTGCTAAAAATTCCGAGATCAAAGAAAAGGTATATCCTCCGCTGCATGAGCCTCAATCAGTTGAGTTATTTTTTGTTCTTGTCACTTAAAATATTCTATAAGTTTTCCGTAAATTATTTATTACGATGGTGGAAACTTTGTATAATATGAATTATTTTTTAGATACATGATAAGGCAGAATTCATGTTATGTATGTCACTCCCAACATTCTTATTGTTAATAAAATTATAATTGTCAAGGGGCTAAGAAATCGGACTTTACCTTACTAAGTTTTTTAAAATTAAAAAATCAAACTGCCCTACCAGTTTGGGTCACGGCCTGCAATCCTATTTTATGAGCAAAAATAAAAAATAAAATTACACCACAATTGAGAACCTTTGTAACAAAAAGAATCTTATTGCACCCAGAAGATTTCATTCTGTTTTTTAAGAAATTTTTCCATTTCGCTGGTTTTTTTTTAAGACCATGAGAAATTTGTAAAATATTTTTTTTTTTTTAAACTGAAAAAACGCTGCTCTCTTGAGTGATTGAATTTCTTCTCTTAAACTTCTCATCATGGAGTGCTTCTTCATCCAAAAAGTAAGGGAGTTCATAGTTCTTAAAATTTAACTTTAAAATAATTCATTCCAACAAATCGACCATTTCAGACCCCCGTCTTCTCAAAACACCCTTCAGCCGAAGGGAAATTGATCCCAGAAGCACCTTAAAAAAGAATTGAGCGTTTACAAAGACGTTATCACTAAATTATATTATTTGCCTGTGTGACCAGTGAAGCAATCGCAAAGACACCCATCAGTACGGTATTTTGAATGATAAACGGTTCCAATTGTGAATAACACCCATTGCTGTAGATGAAATCCTGCCTGCAGTCGTCATCAGCAGTGGAACAAATGCATGATGTCGGCAAGTTTTGCATTTCTGGGCGATAGGTTTTCCAGTCGTCAGGGCCTCGGATTCCACAGCAGTAATACTAAGAAAATAAATACATATATATGATACAAAATATATGTTTTCGAGGGACAGACACAAGTATACATTGATTTGTAGGTGGTCCCATCTGTATTTAGCGCCAGGGTCGCCACCTGCATTAGGCAGCTAGTAATTTGACGCTTGATATTCCAAGTTGTACAAAAGACTTCCGCGGAAAAAGCTTTTCCGGACGAAGGCAATAATGATTCCATTAAATTGCACTGCGCGCAATAGGCATCTCAATAAGAAACTCTAGAAAAAAAAGTTAAAACTAAAAGAATTAAATAAAAACTATTTGAACATACAAAAGTCAGTAAGCATGAAGAACTATTGACCGCCGCAAGAGTGGTCAAAGCGTCCACCAAAAAAGTCAAACATCCTGTGGAGATCAAAACTAGAGCTGGCCATGCATCCTAGGTAAAATATAAAATTAACTATATTAGATTTAATATTTAAATTTAGTTTTTCGCACTTACGCTATATAAGTTTAATAATCCGTCAAGATTGGTAACGGTAGATATAATAATTGCTGCAAATATCACAACAGTCACGCTCAAAACCTAAATTTACGTTAGAGAGGAAAATCATATTGCAGTTTTGAATTTCATTAAATATTATAAAACTTACTAAATTCAATCCAATGAAAACGAAGAGCATCCATTTCAGTTTTTGTGGCGAATGAAGGCAAGCAGAAAAACAATTCATTTTTACGCTTGAAACGTCCTAACTACATGATCTAGAGCGAAAACGCTATTGAGTTATCTACAAGCGATGCAAGGAATATTTTCTAATCAATACATACTCGCCGGCTTATCATATCATTCTTATCAAATGATGTCACAGGCTGTACTTTCGGTAAAAATAAACAATAAATTTTAAATTTTGTCAGGTTTGCTGAAATTTTTAGGGGGAAAAATCCGTTTATCGTGTATTACAAATTTAAATTTTTTTGTTCTCCTTTATTCCACTAAATTCGATTTTTGTCATAATAATTATCAATTTTTTCAGTATTCTTCTGCCACTTAAACATACATTCTTATGTAATTGCTTGCTTCGAATGAACTTGCTACGCACATTGAGAAAATAGCCACGATCAACTGAAAAAATAATTTAATTAAGAACCATATAGAGCTAAAAAAATTAATTGTACTTGTAAAATTGCTACTATGATTCCAATGACTGCAGCTGCGTCCAACATGGCTGTCAAAAACGGTTCCAATACATTATAGCACCCCTCGTTGTACAAACCATTCATGCCACAATCCTTTTCAAAAATCTGGCAATTGCACGAATTGGGATAGCCCATTAGTTCTGGCCTGAGCCTCGACCAGTCCGCGAAGGATTGGGTTCCGCAGCAGTGATACTATAATGAACCGTAATTATTAAAGTAAATATTTTTTTCCTCTGATATCAAACTATAGACTGCATGTCGTCCCAAGCCTCTTTGGCTTGAAGATCGCCGCCGAATCCAGGGACGTAGTAAATCTTTGCCAAATCTTCCATATTAGCCAGGGCCTTAGACGTGAAGTAGTCCTTGTAGGCAAATGAGCAAATGCTCCCAGACAGTTGGAGGGCAAAAATGACGAGCAGAAAAACGGCGTACTGAAACTTTTTCAATCAATAATGATAATTTTAATTGGTTGTAAACTGACCGTGTTTAACATCCGATGAGACCGATTGAGCGTTCCGCAGCAGCCAAGAAACGAAACAATTACAACCAATCCTCCAGAAACTACCAAAATAATTGCTCCAATGCCGGTCTTTGAGTAAAAAATATTTTATTTGAAATGATCAAATTTTAAAAATTTATATGATTTACTTTGTGAGAGTAGAAATTGTCCAGTGTTTCAAGGTTAGCCAAAACGATTGATCCAAAAATTATGATTGCTATTCCTGCAATCTAAAGATATGGATTTTTATTTTTCAGATTTTAATGTATTAGTTCAAATTTTCAGTTATGTTTTACCACAAAAATCAAGTTGAGGATGAAAATGAGCCATCGGAAGATGGTGAGGACGCATCCCCCTATGCAATCAAACAGACAGCAGCCCATATTGCTCCTGTTAGTGTTGCTGTCTGATGCTGACTGATTTATAAAATGTAAACGTAGCTTATCAATCAAGTTATCAGTTATACCTTGTACTGACAATGAAATTTTATCTTTTGGAAGAGCAAAAATACGCTGGTTTTGATCCTGTGAGAATGAATCACGCGCAATCAAATCTTATTTAACTTTAATTAAAATGATACGCAATTTCAATTGCCCCAATAATGAAAATTTGAATATGGTAAAACCTCAAGAAATTTTGGAAAAGACTTTTAATTATGTTTTAATTAAGCAACATTAATTTTAAAATCATAATCCTAGCATGTTAAAATAGAGAGAGGGGAATCTATTTAATCCAGCAATAATAAAACCATGTTCTAGTTCTCTTATATCAACTAAAGTAGATTTTATATATTGAAATTAAAAAAAAAATATATGCATCTTCATTGAAAATAATATAGGGCTTCATTTTTCATTTTCTTATTTGATTTGAATTTCAAATATTTTTGCAAGTGTGAAAACTCATTTAGCAAAATTCAAAGGACTTAAATTTTATTAATTATAAATAACCTAGCACTTTTGAACGAAAGCAAAACAATGGGAGACTTCAACGTCGGAAATTGGACACCTCCTTAAGTCTCCGCCTAAAATGGCCTACTGTCCATACCTTGTGATAGTTGCCCATGAAAGAAGTTAAGTTAGCTGAATTATGCAAATAGTCCAATTTGATAAACATGCAGAATAGGAAATAATAATAATAAAAAAAAATGCATTCAAATCTGCAGAATTTTATTTTTAAATTTTGAATTTATCCCACACGATATAAAATCCAAAATAATTGAAGGTGTTTTAAGGAAAGAGTTTTGTTGCCGTGCATTATAACTACAAATTTATTGTTGATTTAGTGTCGGTCCTTTCTATTTCTAGAACTGTTTGCAAAAATGAGGGTCAGAGTACCGACAACCACCTCGAAAGCGGCCACGCCAATAGCTGTCCACGCCATGATGTATTGGATGTTCAAAATTGTTTCCTGCAGGTGTTGCAAACAACCTCGAGAATAGAATCCGTCGGCCGTACATAAACCGATCGAAGGGTCGCATAAGCAAGAGTCGGGCACCCGAGACAGTTCGGGGTTGTAGGAGGCCCAGTCAAGGCTTGAACGTATTCCACAGCACTCGCCCTAAATCAAGATTTTTTTTTTTAATTTTCACATATCATAGTTTTTCGGAAAATGAAAAGCCTACCTGGGTTTGCAAAGTGTCCCAAAAGACTTGCGCCGGTTCTCCAGTTTGCCCCTCCAGCCCGGCTGGCGGGTAATCGGTCATCAGGGTTATCATTTCCTTCTCGAGGTCAACGCTCAGATTTGGATTCCAAGAAATAACCAAAACGAATCCAGCCACTTGCACACAAAGTGCTAGCAACAGGAAGGCAGCGTACTAGAAAATTTAACATTAAATCAATAAACTTGCATTGTTTTTGTTTATTTTCAAATATAATGCATACCAAGTTCAAAAGGCACCTGCTGTTAGAAATTGCACCACAACAGCCAAGGAATGAAACAATGACGATCGTTCCACCGCCCACCATCAGCACAATAGCTGATGTGTGGATCTGATAAGAATAGAAAAATTTGCATCAAGTATTTTATTTGCGTTTTTTTCAAATATTTACGTCCAACGAGAGGTACTGGCTGATGTCAAAAATACTCATCTCCGTCAAAATTCCCAAAACCAAGATTGTAATTCCAGCAAGCTAGGAAAAATTATTATTATTTTTTTTAATTAAGTAAATTATTCATTGATCGTAACTTACCACAAAGATCAAGTTAAAGATAAAAAGTATGTACTTGAAGATGCCGTTGATCAAATTGCCAATACAGCTGAACAGACCCATTTTGGCTCCTGGAAATTTTCTTTTGGCAGGAGAGCGATTTTTATTATGCTTTCAGCTGCAGAGACCGCTGATAAGTAAGTATTACCACTCAGAAAACTGAATATTTGGCGGAGAGATTTATAGGCGTGTTATTTTTTCTTATCGGCAATCACTGGTGGGCTTATCATCGCTGCAGCGCGCCCAGCTAAAGTTCAACTCGAATACCTTGCATGAGTCACTCCAGGAGGACAATACTTGCGTGTCTGATGTTTTTCTATATTCTTTTGATAACTTCTTTTTATTTGTACAATCGATTATAAGGGTTCATCGCTTTGAAACAACAAAAAACACATTCTACGGTTGTATGACTCACACACACTTGTCAAAACCAGGCCATTTTTACTATTAAAATCACATTAATTTTTTTGTCCATTTAATTTGCATTAAATTAAAAGCAATTCAATAATTCATTTACCTTAAATGGAAGTATGCTTTTTTTTAAACAAAATTATTTACATTTGCCTCATGATGTCTATCGATAAACTGTATTAAAATCAAATGTTAAAGACGTTAAATTTTGTCCATCATATTTTTTTTTCTGAAAGTGTGCATTAAATATAAATGTTCTTTTTGTGGGTCAGTGATTAAGATTAATGTTAATTGGGTATGTTCTTTTTAGAATTTTTATGGGTCGCTGAGGCAACCTTAATTAATTTATGTCTTTCTTATCCCATCAATTTATATTAATCAAACATAATGCATAGGCAAATCAGTTTCTTTTTTCTTGTGATTGTCGACATGGGCGCAATACATTATAATTTCAACTTTTTGGACTTACGGTGAGATTTTTTTTTAAAGTGAAGACGTGTATGCAGATTAAATTTTTACAAAATAATGTATTATATATGTTTTAAAAATTGAGTTTTCCTGAATACTTATTTTTTTAGCCGTAATAATTTTATGTATATAGTTTTTACGTTTTCATGCTTTGTTCTTTACTAAAGCAACAATAATTTTATAGTTGTTACAGCCTTGATAGCTGAATTCTTCTGTTGATTTTTAAGGAAGTATTGAATAAGTAAAAACATTTTGCCTTTAGTTATTTATTTCATATTTTATTTAAAATTAATAAATTATAGTTATTGTACAGTCTTAATTAAATGTCCATTAAAACTGGACAAGATTGTTTTTGAAAGATGATGTTCAAACACTTTCTTTTCCTCTCACTCGTCTACCATTTGCGTACATCAGCGTGAGAACGCCGACGACCACTTCGAAAATCGCGATGCTCATTGCCACCCAAGCCATGGCGTGCTCCAGGTCGAAAATGACGGCTCTCAGCTCGGGGAAGCAACCCCTCTCGTTGTACCCATCTTCTGAGCACCAGAAGTCAAAGCCAGGCTGGCACTTGCAAGAATCAGGCAGTCCAGTTATCGCAGGATTGTACAATTGCCAGTCCAACCGAGAGTGAACTCCGCAACACTCAAACTAATTTAAATAATAAAATAAAATTTCCGATTTTGTAAACAAAATACTATTAATTACCCTCTGTTGGACGATGTCCCAGAATTTTTTGGCATTGTTCGATTCAGTGGGGTCTGTTGGGTAATTCTTCATGTGGTTCTTCATGGCCTTTTCCAGATCAAGATCCAGATTTGGACTCTTGCTAAGAACCAAAATGAATCCAGCCACTTGCAGACACAGTGCAACTAGCAAAATCGATGCATACTGCATGAAAAATAAAAATTAATTTTTTTTTACAAAAAAAAAAAGTGATTTAATTACCGTATTAAGAAGACACCTGTCGTTAGAAATGGCACCGCAGCAGCCAAAGAAGGCGACCAAAACCATCAATCCTCCCGAAACCATTAACACTATCGCAGCGGTGTGGATCTGCAAATGTTAAATATTTTAATAAATTTTCCCTCCCTTTCAAATTTTATACTCTTACATCAATATTGTTAACATACTGGCTGATGTCCAATACATTCGTCTCAATCAAAACTCCGAGGATGAGAATTGTTATGCCCCCGAGCTGCAGGAAAGAAACGAGATATTTATGAATTCAATACGATTTGATTTCTTATTGAAAAAAAACTCACGACAAAGACGAGGTTGAAAAAGAACATGACGTATTTGAAGACGCCATTGAGCACGTCGCAAAAGCAGCCGCAGCAACCCATTTTTGAGGTTTTTCCTTGAGCTTCTGTCAGTTGAAACTGATGCCGAATTAGCGACGCATCGAGCTTTTAAAGAATGACTTTGTTATCTATTCTGTGGCGAATTTGATTTTTATCAGTAGTTCGCTTTTCCCTTGACGTCAAAAAAATCAATGCGACACAATAACGGAACGATGATTCATCTTCATTGAAGGCTTATAATTGATATTGTTATTCAAAACTGTGCAAAACCTCGACTTAATCAAAGAAAACATGTGTAGTCTGCAAAAGTGACTCATGCGTGATTTTGACTTTGGGTTTTGTTCTTGAGAGATTATCAAAAGAAAGTCTCTGTCAATCAATCGATCAATTAAGATTTGTGATTACATACTGGTGACCTATTAAATGATATATATTCTAATAGTTTTGCAATCTAAATAATTATGATATTTGCATCGTAAAAATTATGCTTTTGTTATGAAAAATCTGAATTTAAAAGAGTATATTTGATAAAGAAAAGGCAAATATTTCCTACATTTTTGTTACTTAAATGTTTCTCAATTTATTTTCAAAGTTTATGCAAAGAGATCATTTAAATACAGTGAAAAGCAGTGCATCAAATAAATTAGCATAAGCAAGGTAAACACAATTTGCAACTATATTGATTATTGATAAATCGTTAAATCCAAAGCTAAAAATTTGTGTAATAAGCAAAAAATCATGATTAAATGTTTATAAATAAACGTAAATTGATCCGAAAGACGAACTTGCATAGGCTAATCAAGTCCAGGTTAGACTTTATCATCGCACTAATTATGTTTTCCGCCTCTTTTAAACAAAAATTGATTCTCAATGTTTTAAAATTTTGCTGGTCCGTTGACGCAAAGCTCTCTACGTTTTGAAATTCTCATAGCCTAAGAACAAAATGAATAATAAAAATTAATTACATTCGAATATTGCATATTTTATCATACCGTTGTGCTTCTTGGCAATGACACATGAAATGCAGCCTATGGTGATCTGTGAAAATAAAAATACAAAAAATGTTTTCATTGGGGGAAAAAATTAAAAAAAAAAATTAATACCGGAAATATTGACATAAAAATGCAAAGCCATCCCATGCAAAGGATGAAATCGCTAAAGTGCTCTTTGACGACACCAGCACACTTCTTCTGGTATAACCCTTGAAGACATTTGTCCTTGATACCAGAGCATTTGCAAGAATCGGGGTACTGGTCATCATCCCAATCCTTATTCTTGTCGTTCCATTGGCAGCACTTCAACTGGATTAAAAGTCAATTATTTATTTAATTATTTTGGTATAAGGAAAAAAAATTCACCTCCGATTGAATAGCGTCGACCGACTTGACGGTATCGTTTTGCTTCTTTGTTTGCTTGTTTGCCAGCTTCCACAGCCCATTTTCATTTTTTCCCCGACTATATGTCTTGAATTCTTTTTCGGCCAAATTGTACCCTTTGTCAACCCACTTTTTCCTGCATGCAAACACGACGATTCCCGTGATGATCATAAATGCACTTAGGAGGAAGGCGAAAAAGGCATACTGCAATAAATATGAAAAATTTTTAATTATGCCCAATTCAAGTGATAAATATTGATTTACAATGTAGAGCAGGGGTTTGCTTTCACTGATGATTCCGCAACAGCCAGCAAGAGAAATCAAAACTGTCAATGTTCCAGCGACAATCAGAGAAATTGCAACAGCTTTTTGGTCCTTTTTTTAAATTAGAATAAAAATTATTACAACTGGAATTGAAACTAAACAACTATTCATACTTCCTCTAAATCCAGACTTTTGTCTTTTCGTATTTGGATCCCAATGCCCATTATTGAAAAGCCTGAGAGCTGCGAAAACGTTACATCATATTAGGTTTCAATTTGTCTATTTGGAAATATGTGAAAGATAAAACTTACTATTGTCCCCACAGTTAACACAAGGGACACGATTTTGAGCACTGGTATGCCCGAAGTCATTTTGGAAACGACTGAGGTACTATTTATGATTTATCAAAGCTCACGGAAAAATCTGCAACTTCAAACCACAATTTGATTATATTATCAGATTGCTTTAAAATTTATTTATTTTTAATATATTATCCTTATCACCTGTGTTTATTTCCTGCTTCCTTGGTTAGCCGGTTGGGGAGATAAAGCGATTAAAGAAAAAGCCGGCTGTTTAAATTTCAAGGAGAACTCTCATGAATTTTTTATTGTTATGTTGTTTTTTTCTTCTTCAAAATCTCACGCTTACAATAATTTGCTTTAATTGTACAAATTTGTCATCAATCTTCGTCATGTTCTCGGTTGGCACCCACCACATTTTTAATCGCTGACCATAGCTCTCCCTGGCAAAAGATAGACTGTAGTAATTAATTGCGTGTAGATGCCAAACTATTTATCAGTTGCATTTTTTTCCGTACAATATGAGCGTTCAGATGCTTACAGGCTTTGCTTACGTTTATATTAGTTAATCATAACTTTAAGTTTGGCATCCTTTTTCTCGGAAAAGCAATTTTTTTCTTTTTTTCTGCTTGACTTCCAATTTGAAATAGGTTTACGGATCATTTTACATTCATGCACTGCTCCTAACATTTTTCTTCTTTATGCACACAGAACGCAAGCAGAGTTATACTATTTAATTGCGGACTTTATTGAAATTTTTACGCCTCTGTTTAAGACCATTTGCGTCACTTGCTATAGAGTTTTATTTACAGTTTTTAGATTGCTGGAATGTACAACTTTCTTGAGAAGTGGCGATTACAAAATAATATGCCAACAAATAAGTCTCTGGTCACGAAATCTTTTTTGTTTTTATAAATTGTTAACATGTGTGAAAAATAATGGAGGTGGCGCAACAATTTTAGCTAAAAATGGATTAATTTCAAGCTGCACAATCAATTATGAGTATTTTATAAACCACGGAGAAGTGGAGGCAAGTCTGAAATTAAAACATTAAAATGTAATTTCAACGCTGGGTGAGCATTCATTGTTTTCCTTAAAATTAATACTCGGTGTGAAAATCGTATTATATGTACAGACGGAAACTGTATCGGAGTGAAATGTGAGATGAGGGTGTTTAAAAAATAAACACATACACAGATTGAAACGATATTTGTGATAAAATGAATAAAAACTAAAGAAAGGTTTGCACGTTCATTAACATTGACTGAGGAAGAAGGCGCTGATGTAGAGGCAGAGCAAGGAAATCGTTGAAAGGGGGGCTCCGGAGGTTTCCTCTTCCATGCTTGATGCTTCAGCCATCACTTTGGTCCTGTAGTTTTGCTCTTTTCCGTAGTGGCCAATACCTGCTGCGTTGATCGCCGCCGCCCTGATTGTGTAGACAGAGTCGGGTTGCAGGCCTTGAATTGTGTACATGGGTCCAGTTTCTAAAATAAAAACATAAAATTTAATTGCAATAATTAAAAAAATTTGCTTTTAATTAATTTTTAAAAATAATCATTTGTTCAATTTCGTTATTTCCCAAAATTAGAAATTTAATTTTGCATTTACCTGCGTTGAAATCAAAAGTATTAGCATGTAGCCAGTCCTTTTCCTCCTTTCGCTTGACCTGCACCCTGAAGGACGTAACGTCGAGGGTCGGCGGACCTTTCTTGAAGGGCAGCTCGTTGTTCACTTCAATCAGCTCGACCACTAAAGCGTCATGCATGGCGGCGCGCACATGCATCTCGGGTGTGGACGGTTGAGCGCCCTCGTGCAGCACCACAACCCTCTCCACATAACCCAAGGCGTTGCTGGCTCGGCAAATGTACTCGCCAAACACGCTGTGGTTGGTCACAGTGAGCTGCAAAAAGATCCAAACTTAGATATTAAATTTCTCTAATAGTTTGCAGAAAAGCGTCCTAATTGTAAGTAAGTTTCAATTAATTTTAAGAGGATTTTGTTTGATATATAATTTTTGTTCTGTAAAAAAGGAAAAATATTTTGGCACGAGATCTTATCAGCAGTAATTCTGTGAATCATTTTAGCGATTATAAATCATGACTTCAAGAATTTGTAAATGATGAGTAATTTGTACCAAGAAAGGCACACAAACATCAAAATGCACTTGACTGGTTGATAACGATTGTGGCCAGTTTTGCAAGTATTAGATCATTATAAAAATTAAACAATAGATCCAACTGATATTGGGGATTTTTGCTGTGAGTCACCTTGTTATTTAGTTACTTGGTTGTTATTTAGCGGAAATAAAGCATTTGAAAGGACACTTTTGTTATTTTATAAAAAAATAAAAATATAAACAGCCAGTTCAACCATCCTTAATTGCAAGGGTTTTATGTATTGTTAAGTTTTTTTATTTATTCCACTCTTTTCTAACCAAAAGAAACTTGATTCTCCGGTTTTTACTCTTAAAGCGACACAGGAGTTAAAAGAAAAGTTAGCGCGTCACTAAAAGCGGGTGAAACTTTTCTTTTAATAAGAGAGTGGGCCGGAAAAGGAAAGATGCGGGAGGTTTTCTTTCTCTTACTTGAAGAACACTGCGCTGCGGTTCCCGGAACAACTTGGCATGCTTGTTGTGAGAGCCGATTCGCCGGTTGTCCTTTATCCATTCAAACTCTGCTTCGGGATCGGCCAGCGCGTCGCAGCTCAGGTTTACTGCCCCGGACATGAAACCGTACGCCCTGTCGCGAATGGACTGATCGTGAGGCCAGTGAGGCTTGTCTGCAGGAAATTCAAAGCAAAAAAATGGTCATTTAATCAAAAATAATTATGAGATGAGGATGAAGAAATACTTGGTCTTTTGTTGCTGAAAAAACTAAGGGAAAATGCTCATGACAGATCAGGACTAAAACTGGTAAAAAAAATTTGTTTTTAAAAATAGAATTAATTAAGTTAATAAGAAATAAATAAAATCAGCGAGCACAAAGCCAATTTGTTTTATTTAAATGTTTTTTAGAGTGTCAATATCTTCACTTGGAAAAGATTTTATATTAATATTTACGCAAAAAAAAATTTTATCCACAGGACCTATAAAAATTTGACCATCTGCTTTTTAATCTTTTAATTATCATCATCAGCAGTTTGAATTTTTTTAATACTTGTGGAATTAAAAAAAATATATTTTTATGCAAATTAGGATAAGAATAATTACACTTGCATAATTAAACCTTTCATTTTAAAAATGTGTGTCTCGTTTCTTTTCTTTTCTTATGTTAATTGAATTCAAAGCTCAAATAATATAGAGCGAGGACAATTTTATTTAGTTGATAAGACATGATCAGAATTAATGACGAAGCTAACGGCTACGTCGTGTTTATCTTGATTAAAAGTGAAACACTCACGGTGCACTTTGAGAGTGATAATCTGCTCTGCCATGTTGCTCGCGATGGAGGAGGCCTGGAACGCCCGGCACAGGTACTCGCCTCGGTCGGCCAAACTCACGTTCTTGATCAACAAACCATCGGCCATCACTTTGTGCCTCGGTCCTATTAACAAGCAAAATATTTGCCCACTCAATTCATATCCAATAAGCTGCAGGCGCGACGCCTAAGCCGATAGGACGCTCTGCTAGGCACGTACCTTGCGGGTGCTTTCCTTTGACTTGCCAAGTCACTTTGGGCTCAGGGTCGCCCTCCACTTCGCATCTGATTAGCGCGTCTTGGTGCTCGGTTGCATTTTGCAGGGTTGGGGTGTCCAGAAATGAAATTGGCTCTGAGGAAATAAAAATAAATTAATTGCAATAATATTTTCTAATTTTAATTATGCTAGAACAATATTTATGTAATTTTTCAAAATTTGAATGAATTTTTAATTGAATTATTTGTAATTATTGTCTTTCTTCTCTTAATCAAATTACATTTTGTGAATTTAAATTATTGATTTGTATTTCGTTGTGGGAAGTGATTAACTCTGTGTTTTTATCAACAAATATTATTTGCAACAAAATTTTGAAAATTCAACAGAATTTTCCTCTGAGAGAATTCCAAGAAGTGCCTTGTAATTGAGCCACATGCGGACCGGACGCAGCGCACTGATAAAGACCGCGTTGGTAACCAAGTAAATGGGTAGGTTTAATCCTTTCTGCGGAGCTTAAAACCGTTGGGGCGAATTCGAGCGGCTTTTGTTTCGTTTGAAATAGCACAACAGGCAGAGACCGTAAATTGGGAGAAGCACTTACTGATGACCACTAGTTTGAAGCTCTGGGTCACCTCTGCGCCATCCACATTCGCAATGCAGGTGTAATTGCCCCGGTCTTTCTTCTCAATGCCCTCGAATATCAAATTGACTCCTTTCACCGTCCATCGATCTTCTACATGGATTCTGAAAAAAAAATCGAGTTTACAAAAGCAAAAGGAAATTCTTTTGGTTCAATAAACGTCAACAATTTTGCATTTTTCAAAACATATAAATAGAAAAAAAATACATTTTTCCTCCGTTTTCACAAATTTTATATGGTTCTGGTCCATCATATGGGGATTTTCAAAAAGTCAGTTTTTTTTAGACACTTGCAAAGCTATGCTTTTAATACATTTTTTATGGTTTTATAGAAAACTAAAGTTAGATAAATTATATTAATTTAAATGTTATATGAAAATTGATTAAATAAATCTGAGACTAGACAATTTACAGAATGTTTGCCGTCGTGAGAAATGGTGAGAAATAGGTCAAAGCCATAGCAACTGATCGTAGGCCAACGTACCTTCCCTTGTTCTGGCTAATCCGTTCTCCAGAGGGCCTGGTCCAGTGCACGTTGGAACCCTTGTCGCTCTGGCACGAAACAATGTAGGTCTCGTTGACGTACTTGACCACCTCTGGCTTCATCGGTGACAGAAATAGCGGCGGCACACAAAGGCCTGTGGGAAGCACACCTGCAACATAAATCACACCGCGCGCACCCTAATTAGTAATTACTCTCTTTTCATTCCTCGCTGGTATCAGAGGACGAGACAAGGCTCAGATTACATCGTCAGCCGACGCCGCGCACAAAAAGGATTTTGCGGCAAGGGCTTATTTTTGGTGGAGTCACGTGTTAATTAACTGATGAGGTGAAGAGAGAATGATCTCCACTAGATTTATTTAAATGTTCTAGTCTGCATAAAAGAGTAGGTTTCACTCTTTGGAGTAGGCATAAAGTATTTTTATGCTTTTTATTAATTTTGTTCAAACGTCTACAAGAAGAAAAAAAGTGCCTCTAGCAAATACAAAAGAAAATCAGCACCTTTGTTTGAGCTTCTCTAGAAATTTATGCTTTCCACTATTTCCAGTATGCAAAATTAGTTAACGGTTTTTTTATATCAATAAAACTTCATCAAATACAATGATGAAATTTTAAAAGTATTAATAATTTTTTAATACATTCATAACAGATGAGATTATAATAAATTTGTGTTAAAGCAACATTTTTTATTAAAAATTTTTAATGTTAAACTAACCAAATTACATAAATAAGTAATTAAAAGAAATTTAAACAATTTAAAGTGTTAAATAGTCTCATTTTTTTTATACAATATATTTTAAGATGTGAAATTTTAGTTCACTTTAGCCTTAATTTTTCCCTTTCGAAGTGTTAAAAAGGAGAAGAAATGTACATCGTTCAAGCACGACATAATCAAATAATCATAACAGCCGAGACGCAGAACTCTCAAGAGTATTGCAGCCGCAAAAAAGGCCATCCCAGAGACAGAAATGGCACTGAGAGGAGCAGAAAAGCCGCTTTGCTGGTTGGCAGACGAGCAAATTTATGTTGGTCACCGAGAGTAGACGGCGCCTTGGTGGCTGCGTGTCTTTTTCCATATTTTTTGCCCATTCTCCGCCAATGCTCGAATATGCCGCAGAATCTGAAAATTGTTGAATTCTGGCTCCGAATTTGATGCAGTCGCGGCCACCGAGTCCATCGACTGAATATTGCATTATGGGCAATTGATGGTTGCTGAGGCTGTAATCAGGGTCGAGGGGCACGTGGCCAATAAAAGGCATGTGGCGCCAGAGGGGCGGGGGTGGCGCCACGACCGCCCCCGCACCCTCCCAATCGATTCTGGCGCCAACAAAGGCGCTTCTCCCAAGGCATCCCTGCTCTTTTATGTGCGCTGCGGCCGCAGAGACAATAAAGCGCTAATTTGCTTAACTGCCCAGCAATCGGGACCTAATGCACCTTAATGTGCCAGTGTGTGACTCGAATTCAGGATGTGGTCGTGCGAGGAAGGCCGAGCAGGCCAAGCATAAATTATTCATGAGGGTCCGCCTCCCTGTTTCTATTTTTCGGCCAGGATTTTCTGAAATGCTCTCAAACCTCGTTTTGCGTTTCTCCGCAGGCGAGTCGATACATACAAACTTTGGGATACAAAATTTACTTCCGCTTTCGGTTTAAAAACATTTGCAACTAAAAGCTTCACTACTAAAAGGGTCACTTTAAATGAGTGTTAGCGTTTTGGATTTTTTTTTTTTTTTTTTTTTTTTTGAAATGCCTGAAAAGCTTTTTTTGTCCTCAATTTACTAGTTTTCTGATAGATAAGGTTTTCATATTCTTCGACTATAGTAGAAAATGACATGGCATAAAATGGTAATTCCTGATTGAATTGTTTTCTAACACACAAGTGATTAAAATAATCCATGTATTGTCGTAGTTTATAAAAATAAAACTTGCTTTTTAATACAAAGCAATAGCTTAATATGTTTAAAAAAAATAGGATTATAAAATTGATAACATTCAATAAATTAAATAAACAAAATAAATATAAATATTTTATTAAACAATTTTTCAATACTCATTTTATTGTAAACAATTATTTATTAATGAGGCTGGTAAAAAAATACATTTAGTTTTTTTTTTTACAAAAATTCAGCTTCAATTTCATATATAAAATCATTTGTCTGGATATAAATCGCACATAGCGAATGGAGCCGGAAATCAATCTTGGCCGGTTGGTCCGAATCTAGTTAAATCCCAGGCGCGCTGGCATCGCAAGCACTCTTTGATGAGACTCGCGAAAGGTGCCATTAATCAACGCCGCTTTATTTGCGCCTTGGCGTAAAAAAAATCGATCTTGCAGAAGGAGCAGTTATTCATTCTTCACGAGAAACATAATTCAGAGCGTTAATCGACAAAATATACGCGAGAGCAGAAAATAAATTGCCGTGAGCGGAATCGTCTCTGGAAAATAAGCGCCTAATGATGCCAGTTCCTGCATTCAGCCTGTCATTTCACACTCGACAGCGCCCATTTGGAAAAATCAACAAACACACACACGACTGCTTTTCAAATAATGGGACTTGGCTCAGCCAGGATAAAACGTTTCGCCGACTCTCATGCCGTATTTATTTCCCTCTGAAAGGCACAAAAATACAAATAAAAAAATAAACACGAGCTAAGCCAAAAATGGGAAATAAAATATTTATGAAATTTTTACAGAAAAACCATCAGCATTGGAGAAGTGACGGTTATAGTGAAGCACAAATGGTGTGTCCCTCTCTGTCGATGCTATTATTACTGCGGTTATTTCGCACCACGGCAGCAAGGGTGTCGAACATGAATATTCAAGAAAGCGACCGACACCCGTTTCGACCTTGCTATAACCGAGATGCTGCAGCCATAACAATGTATTGTGTATATTCTCGTGGTCGGGTGGACAAATCGAGAGGTGCTTGCTTGAGCATTTGTGCATCGACTCGGAAAAACGAAAAGCAGCCCACGCGAGGGAAGGTTTCGCACTGGTGGCCGCGTCTAATCAAAATTAACTGCAGCGGAAAATAAAAATGCAGCACATGCGACTCCCAGGAGCACAGCGAATGGCGTCTTTCAACGTTTGCATTTAATTAGGTAGACTGTTTGAGGCAAAGTAATTCAATTACAAAAATTATTTTAATATTCTTGTATAACTTTCTTTATTGGATTTCAATATTAATGATGAATTATTGTTCATTTTGCTTGTGGAAAAAATATTTAATCGAATTTTAAACCTTATTTCCCAACGGCAATATTACCCTGCCCATTGAACCTTCGAAAATTCAATTTTTGAGATGAATATTTGGTCTTTGAATTATTTATCATCAAATTCATCCCTCGACGTAGATTCGATGCGGATAAATTTGCAACGAATTCGCTCCGACAAACGAGCGTGAGAAAATCAATGCGGGAAATCTCAGGTGGATCGGCTCTGGCGGTTTTGCATTTTAAATGCGCGCGTTAAGAGTCGGAGAGCAGAGAACGAACGAACAGCGTGTGTAATAGGCCAAATAAAAAGCAGCAGCACGCAAATATCCACTCGAGGGAAATCATCTGGCTCTTTTCGCTGCGTGCAAATGGCGCGCCGAAAATCGCTTTTTTAATGTGCCCTCGAAGACGGAAGCTCGGTGCGAAAATTTTGGCTGATAAAGCTGCGCCGTTGTTGCGACTTTTGAATCATGGACGGAGCAGTGAAAAGTGACGCTCGTGTGTGTTTGTTTGTCGGCCTTTTTCCGCGCGTTACAACTACTTTTTTTCCCTTTGGCTGACTTTGATTACGCGCGCGCCGCTCTGCCGGCAGTCGTTCGTTATGCAGATAAAGCGGCGCTTTATTAAAGCCCTTGTTGTTTGTGTCACATGTAAAAAAGCTCTTATTGCAACAACTTTGATGCGTGCTCGCCGTTTTCAGCAAAAATAAATCGTGAAATCGTTTTTTATTTATATTCCCACAAAGCCCTGAATAGCCTCCACAGTTTCCTAGCAAATCGTGCTTAAAAGAGATTTTTTCTAAAACGTTATTTCTGATGTGAACTATAAGAAGTTTTTATTTCTCAGGGCTGCAAGTTTATTTTTACCTAAAAACAAATTTGCCCTCTTGCATTTTAAACCCTATACGGAGGTCTTACTAAGTAAGAAACATTTTTGATATAAATTTATGAAACTCTTGAGCGGATAAATTTTATCAACAGGATTATAAATCAGATTGGCAGCCTGCCAGCCTAAAAATATCAAAAGCAGATAATTTCCTGGCAGTGCAGTGGTTGGAGGTGGGGGAAGTTTGAAGAATCAGATATCTTATGCCATTGTTTAAAAAAAAATCGACATAGCTTTAGATCAGATTTCTTGTGACTTGTGACCTTTTTGCCACTTAAGTGCTAACAAAAAGACTGTTGTACTAGAATAAAAAATAAATCCTTCTAAAAAAAATGTGTCGCAACTCGCAGTGAATTTTGGAGGGCATAAAATTGCCCTAAATTCGAACCCAACAAACATTTTTCTTGAAACTAAAATTTTATATGTTATTATTAGAGAGTGAGTTGAAAGTAATATTTAGTTTCTAGAAAATATTTATTGGGTTTGAATTTAGGGCAACTATGCCCCATACATGAACTCATCCAAATAAATGACAAAACAAAAATTTTAAAAGATGAGTAAAATTTTATAGTAAATAATTTAATAGGATAGTAAGTAATTGTAAGTTACAAACTTTATTATTTCTTAATTACGAGCATTTTCTGAATTTCTTTTTCCGCTTAATTTTTTTAATATTAGAATTTATATTTTTCTAAAGTGGACAAGATTAAAAGATCTATTTTGTCACTTTTCAGCACAGCTAAAAGCTGCATTACATTTTATTTTCAAAAAGATCCAGTAGAGAGCCCTTTAGCATTGATTTTTATTCCCGGATCGTCTTGAATGTGTTGGTTGGAGCCAGGGCTGGAGATATTACATTCCTCGAGGCTCTTGACTCATGTCAATACCTCGTGTGCATGCCGAACAGTTGCAAACAAAGGCGAACCACCATCCACTTGATCTCCGATGGACATCCGAACACATAAATAAAAAAGATAAAACTGCTCCCCCAGCATCCATTCACGGCCGCTCTTTGCATGCCTGAGATGAGTTGAGAGCAGAACAGAGGCGCCT